CTTGGGGTTGTTTTTTTTTTAAAGACTAACCGATTCTGTGGCCTGAAAAAAAATGCCGTTACTTTACTCTGGTCTCTTGATGAGGAGGTTCCGTTACTTGGTTCTTGATATTCTTCACACTAGGTTTTTTTTACCCTTTGTCACCTTCAGGGAGGAAATGTGTTCGCTGCCCTGAACCAGGAGCAGAGTGAAGAGGAGGAGGAAGTAGAAGAAGAAGAAAAAATATCAAAGCCCATCAAACTTGATAGGGATAAGAGCAACAAGGTGAGCTGCGTTTGGGAGTAATCTAACAGGAATGATTTGATGGTTAATTTTCCTGATTCAGGATGAGCAGCCTTATTTCGTGTGGCCTTTAGCTGCATTTTGAAAATATTGCAAGCAGTCCTGTCTGTCATGCCCTGCTATGTGCAGAAAGGGTCAGAAAAAGAACATGGTTTTTGTGTCAAAAAAACAACAATTATCTGAGGTAAAATGCCATGGAGAAGACAGGCAGCTCCTTCTGTGTTATATATGGTTGTTCTAGGCGTCACTTTTAAGGTGATGCAGGCTTCAGTAGTACATGTTGCCCACCCTTGTAACGGGTACACTTCAATGGTGGGATTCAAAAAATTTTTTACTACCGGTTCTGTGGGTGTGGCTTGGAGGGTGTGGTTTGGTGGGCGTGGCAAGGGAAGGATACTACGAATTCCCCATTTCCTCCCCACTTCTGGGGGAAGGGTGCTGCCAAATTCTCCATTCCCTCCTCATTCCTGGGGGAAGGATACTACCAAATTCCCCATTTCCTCCCCACTCCTGGGGGAAGGTTACTGCAAAAATTCCCCATTCCTGGGGAAGGATACTGTCAAATTTCCCATTCCCTCCCCACTCCTGGGGGAAGGTTACTGCAAAATCCCCATTCCCTCTCCACCACACTAACCTGCTTTCCAGCTCCGTTCTCCTGTGCAGGGCAACAAAAGAAGATCCAGGCCATCAGCTGGGATTTGGGAGGCAGCGAATAGAACTGGGGCGGGGCCAGGACCAGTCACAGGTGGTATTTGCCTGTTCTCTGAACTACTCAAATTTTCCGCTACTGGTTTGTCAGAACTGGCTGAATACCACCTCTGGTATACAAGGTGTAATGGGTGGATTGGGCCATGCCACATGGCCGCAGAAAAAATATCTGTATGCTTGCTGATCTTTTTAAGAGTTCTGCATGTACCCTGGACTCCATTCGAAGGCACATAGCAATTGAGTTCACAAAGCTTTAAAGGTTCACTAAGAGTTCTCCATGTTTTATGAGTCTAGTCTATAAGAATGGAAGGAAGGGATCATTTTAACTCAGAATTCTGCCAGAGCAGTTATAAATCAGGCTACCCTCCCTGGTTACCCGTCGTCGTTAAAACCCCAAATCCCTCATCAAATGTAGCAATGAAGTGGAGATGTAGACTAGCATGTTGTTCTATTCCTGCCAACAATGCAGAAGATGCAGCATTGATTGTCCCCACCACTGCTTTTTACCTGGCCAAATAGCAAAGAAGCCATTTGATATAATGCAGAGGTCTTCAAACGTGGCAACTTTAAGACTTGTGGACTTCAACTCCCAGAATTCTCCTCCTAGCTGGAGAATTCTGGGAGTTGAAGTCGACAAGTCTTAAAGTTGCCAAGTTTGGGGACCCCTGATATAATGGATCCCACGCTAGATTGGAAGTAGGGCAAGTGACTTACGACTGTTTTTGAAATGACCATTGCAGCATACCCTTGCTTACATGATCACTTTGCAACTGGCTCATACTTATGACAGTTGCAGTGTCCCAGGGTCATGTGATCACCTTTGGCCACCTTCTGACAAGCAACAGAAATAGTAACTTAACAGCTGTAATGATTCACTGAACAACTGTGGCAAAAAAAGTCATAAAACGGTACAAAGCTCATTTAACAGCAGAAATTTGGGACTCCATTGTGGTTGTAAGTTGAGGACTCTGTTTAATTTTGTCGCCTATCTGGTTTTCTTTGGTCTTTACTGTTTCTTGAAAGCATTTACTTTAAAGTCTCGTTTTATGGAAAGGGCAAAAGGGTTGTCAGTGGAGCTGAGATTTGTTTTTCCAAATTCCTAGGCAGTGATAATGAAGCCCCGGCTCTTTCCCAACAGTCAAATAAATTCTTTTTTTCTAATAGAAGAAATTGCAGATGTGTGGGTGTTCTGGTGGTCAGTTTTTCTTTTTCTTTTTTCCCCACTCTTGGAAAGTTTTACCTTGCAGACATTTTTGTAGCATGAGTGTCAGGGATGACTTTCTGGCACTTTTCTAAGTAAAATCAGTACAGAAATAATCAAAATCAAAATCCAATTTATTTCTCTAGGCAGCCCCTGGTGATGAAGAAACAAAGAAACCAGGAAAAAAAGGCTCTAAAACCAAA